AGGATGCTCTTCTTCACTCACTTTTTAAACCAGCAAAAAACTGACATTTGGCTTCTCATAGAGATGTATTGGTTTTTAGTAGTCCTCCACGATAAACATTGCGTCCCAATACTTTTCTATAAGAAGCATTGGACTGGATAGGAGATAATCAGAACTGATAATCTCACAAAAGTGGAGTGAAGTTGTGGAAAGACACCCTCTCATTGCGGAGTTAGAGATAAGTTAAACTTTATTGAATCTGGGTGGGCCCGAAACAAAAGGGGGCAAAATATACTCCAATGTTATAAACTATATTTCATAGAATCCCAAGTCACAAAATAATGTATAGAGATATTTTTGGATTTAACCCCTTAAGGACACATGACATGTGTGACATGCCGTGAATCCCTTTTATTCCAGAAGTTTGGTCCTTAAGGGGTTAAAAGGACATACTGCATGTTGGGAGGAAGGAAAGCATGTTTGAATTTATTTTATTAAAAACTAAAGAACATTTATAAAACAATTACCTGAAAAAAGTAGATTAATTAAAACAGCATAACAAATCGTTACATAGCCTATACATTGCACCTAATATATGAGTGCAAGCCTGTCTGAAGTGCCCTTTAAGGAAGCATCGTAAGTGACTTTGGAAGCAGCTTATGCACTGTATATTTATACCTAACAACTACATCTTTATCCTTTATTTCACCATTTCACTCTAGATATTGGAAGTTGGCTGGAACTATTTGGATTTCAGCTACACAATGTACTCCCTGGATTTCCAAAACCAGAGGCAAAGGGGTTTGAATCAACATATGAGTTGTTACAATTACAAAGTAAAACACAAGAATGGGATCCTGGGAAGGTTAGTGCATTTTTTGATATTTCAAACAGATTTCTGTGTTATCAATACAGCAAGGGTCATGGTACAAATCACTTTATAGGACATTTAAAAAAGCCACGAGGTAGACACATGAAAAGTGTATTAAATACTATTAACATAGTGTGATTTGTGATAAAATCTCACAAAAACATACCAATATTTTGGCAATAATCTGGCCCCAAGTACTAATATGAAGATTCCAATGTAAAAATCACATAAAAGAAAAAAGAAAAGAAATAGGTGATATGGTTACCCTATCCATGTCTAAGACTGCCTGCTGCATATAGTTGCACTTCCTAGAGCAAGCTGGTGGCATTTAAAGCTCAGTTCGATTGATACAAATTTTGGATGATTAGTGCTTCATCTGAAATCCCAAACTCAGAAATGCTACATGGACAAATCACAAAACAGACAGTTTACAAAACTGATTCATTTGAATTGTGATTTAGAGTTGTAGCCATAGAGCCAAAAAAAAAAAGAGATGGGGAAAAAGATGATTGATGGTTAGGGGACAGCAACTAAATGTTGTTCTTATTCAGAGATCATGTGAGAAGTGACCAATAGAGGGAAGAAAAGGAGGAAAAGTAAAAACAATCTTTATATTTTATTTTCCATCATTCATCTTTTTTTTGGCACCATAGACAGAATTACACACCGAATCGGCCTAAATTTCGATAAATTGCAGGTTGGACCAAAACAAATATCCACGTCTAAAAGATGTACCAATCAACAAAGTTGGATATAAAAAAAAAGGTATATATCTACAGGCCTATAGCTGTATGCCCTGTGAAAATACAAAATTCTTACTGCCCAGCTTTATGACGCCACTATTAACAGGCTTTTAGTGTCCAGCTACCATAGCTGCACTTGTAAAATTTTGATAATCTGAAACTGTATTCATGAAAAATGGTGAACATACTGGAACAATTGTATCTTCATAAGAACTGTTTACTCTATTGTTAGTAACATCTTAATAAGTATTGCACTATTCTTACCACAAGGATGGATGGACAGACAGACAGAAATTACCCAGCAACTCAGCTAACACAACGTTAATTTCCAGTTACAAAAATATAGTTATTTGTATGATATACTATATATCACTTTTTACGTGCTTCACTTGACATCCATTATAGGTGCTGAATCCATTGGGAATTGTTTTTGCTTTTTTAATCAGACATGTCCATCACAGAACAGAATGGCCAGGTACAAAGCTCCTATTTTGCCATTTGTATAGTAAAGCATAAAAAAAAAATTTAAAAAAATTTATGTAATGCAATTTTTGTAGACCAGTTATCTGAACAAATCAATTCATTCTACAGTAAAAAGGACAGCATGTGAAACATTTGTTCAGATCAGTGATAGATAAACTGTATTTAGGGTTCGGGAATTCTCATAACCTGAGAAAGCTTTTGACTACCTGTTGTAATTTGTAGTGTGATATCAAAATGGATCAGTGAAAATTTTGTTGGCTCCATGCTAGTAACAATAACAATTTACGCTGTCTTTTTTTGGGTCAAAAGTATTCTTTATCTGTAACAGAGGTATGAAGCAGGAAAGAAATCTTTACCTGGGGTGGAAGGGGAAATTAAGTCTTACTCCATCTCACCAGATAGAAAATTGTGTCACAGAAGGTACAGACTTAGCTGTTACTGTAACCACATACACTTTTAATATTAAGATACTGGGAAAGTCACCGACATAATTGAGAATGTAACCCTACAGGCTACTGATACCTTCAAAATCAATTTTCCTTCTGGAGTTGTGAACAGACGTAGTCACACTTAGCAAAGCAGTTGCACTGTGCAGAGTCCTGTTAGAGCAACACCATGTGTTGGCCTGAGTGAGGTGAGCCAGAATGCTGACATTCTCCTTTTTTGTCAGGTTCACTCCTTTTCCAGACAGACTTATTGCTTTTCAAGTTGGGCACACACCTCTTAAATTTTACCACCTTTTTGGCCTGCAACTCTCCATCCTGATCTAATAACTCTCATCTTTGGGAAGTGTCATGTCTCCTGCACTACCTGGATTCTGATGCGTGCGTAGTGGCAAAGAGCGCAATATGGCAACAGCTCTGATGCAGACCACTCCTATTGGCACTCTATTTATGCTCAATGTCTTGTTATTTTTTTTATGACACTTATCTTATGCTTAGCCTTATTGTGGTCTGTGTTATGCAAGAATTCGGTTTTTTTTTTTTACGATTTGCTTATTGACTTGACTTTAATCTCTGACCACTCTGACCTCTGGAATTCCTGAATTTGGAACTCTGTTCAACCCTTCCATAATTCTCTGTATTCCTTGATCTCATCCTGTCTATACTTTCATATGTTAAGTCCAGCCATTCTAAGGACTAATAATTTGTCTTCTCTGTAATACTCATAGCCCTAAGGTTTTTCTGTTGGAGTGTTTAGTATCAACCTCACCAAGACTACACTGCATAATTAGTTCATGTTTAAAGTTTAATATATGCTTTTATTTTTATATATATTATGTATATTATGTACTTATAAATTTGATATCTGCTTTTCATGTAGGTTTTTTTTATATACAATTTTGTTTGCATGACAGTCTTGTCTTACTAATCATGTAAATCATCTCATTATACGATTTTAATAAATTACTTTAAATAACTTTAATGTTGTAACCAGTGCAAATAATGTATTTGTTTATCACATATTTCTGAGTGTTAACCTGCAGGGTATATGCCATTTAGTTAAAATTTTCTGTTTATTTATATTTGTATTTTTAGAACATCCTTGGTATTCAGTGTGAACTGAAGAAGCAGCTTCGAAACTTCATTTCTTTAGATCAACTTCCAATGGCCCCTAAACAAAATGAAAGGAAATGTCACAGAAATACAAAATATCCCAGATTTGCCGCTATTCCATCTGTGTTTGGAAAAGGCATAAAGTTTGCTATTAAAGACGGAATCGTGACAGCTGACATAATTGGAGTTGCTAATGAAGACAGCCGTCGTATTGCTGCTATTCTTAACAATGCACATTACCTGGAAAACTTACATTTTACTATTGAAGGACGGGACACACATTACTTTATTAAGTTAGGTTCTTTAGAGGAAGATTTAGCTGTAATTGGTAATACTGGTGGTGGACGCATTCTGGAAAATGGAGTCAATGTCACTGTGTCACAGATGACTTCAGTGGTCAACGGGAGGACTAGAAGATTTGCTGACATCCAACTTCAACATGGTACCTTGTGCTTTAATGTCCGCTATGGATCAACTATTGAAGAAGAAAAGAATCATGTCTTAGAATTAGCTAGACAGAGAGCAGTGGCCCAGGCATGGACTAAGGAACAGAAAAGACTGCAGGAAGGAGAGGAAGGCATACGAATGTGGACCGAGGCAGAAAAACAGCAGCTTTTAAGCACAGGGAAGGTACAAGGCTATGACGGATATTTTGTTCTATCAGTGGAATCATACTTAGAACTTTCTGATAATGCCAACAACATTCACTTTATGAGACAGAGTGAAATAGGCAAGAGGTAACAAACACACAAAAAAATCCTCTTTGCCTTTGCGTCACCAAAGACTGCCTGTTTTTAAAACATAAAATGGTTTATTGTATTGATTTTCTAGATCAGATCTCTGTATATGTAAATATAATGAAAACATATCCAACTGCCTTTAAATGTGACAAAAGATGGTATTTTAATATTGTTAGTTTTAATGATGTCATCCTTCCAGCACGAGGGTATCTCTTAGCACAATGCTGAGCAAAGTGCTAGAGGATTCTCGGGTGCTCAAAGGATTTTGAATGAAAGTAAAGCTTCATTATTCATGTGTGGCGATACTCAGCCTTTTTGCTCGCATATTAACCACAACAATGCTGCCACTGTTTCTGGAAACTAGAGCATAAGTGATGGTAAAGCTTCTAGAAAAAATAAATAGAGATTCTACCTAAAAAGTATTAGCAAGTATATGATGGAACAGAATGTGCAATGCTGAACTCCTCTGTAATTGTTTCTTATATAATTCTCTTTTTTCATAAATTAACATACTTTCACAATAAAACTTAAACCATTATGAGTCATGAATAATCCTATTGAATGTTAAGAATTATTTGCTGCTTTAAGCATCATGCAGAGGGGATCTAAAATTAGACGTGCGATTACTTAAAAACACTTCTTTTAGAGCTATAGTAGGTGGTAAATAATATGTGAGTGCAGCCAAAGGGCTTTGAGAGCCTTGTCCTCTTAAACAGAGAAAAAAAAAAGACTCTTATTTTCATACTGTGACAATTTACCATACCTATTATGCTACCTAGGTGGTATTGCTGCTGGAATTATTTACTTTCTTTTGCTATAAAGGTTGACTGCATCTTGATGTTTTTTTTTCCCTAATAAACATGAATATTTGCTCCTCCCTTTTTTTAAGATAAAGGCAAATATTTGGAAATATCAGTTGCAGTACATACATGTTGTTTCAGCTTAGGGTTTCACTAGAAATGTAAACCATTCATACAAACTGAAAATAGAATTCTAAACAACGGCTAATCCTATGTGAAATATATGTTTGAGTGTGTTTGTGTGTGCATGCATGTATTTGTGTCTGTGTATGTCCAAAGCTATAGTTCAAAGCAGCTGCCGTACCATGATCAATCCCAGGTTATATATGATTTTCATGTGTTCTATAAAAAAAATATTATTTTTTGCATTTATCCTGCCTGTTGTGCCTTATAACTGCATCTCAGCATCACTGATCCATTTTAGTGCCCTTCCAACCCATCCTCACAAACAAGCTAGGATTTGACGAGATCTATACCATACCATACCATGGGTCTCAATGGAATTGGCTGAGGGCCTCTTTAACCCATTTGTTGTAAAGCATTGCTATTTGACCTGTTGGTGGATCCTAACTTCTGATTTAAAGAACTTTACTCAGGTTCTTCTCAGTAGTACAGGTTTTCATTGACTACTAATTTTAATGTATCCCCAATGATGATGAGTTCTGAGTAGTGTTTTATATGAAATACTCACCACTCCTACTGACTCCAACACTGTTTCATTGAAAGCTGGAAGGCTATTCCATGCATCCACTACCCTCTCAGTAAAGTAATACTTACTGATATTATTTTTAAACCTTTGGTCCTCTAATTTAACACTATGTCCTCTTGTGGTGGTAGTTTTTCTTCTTTTAAATATAGTCTCTTCCTTTACTGCGTTGGTTCCCTATATGTATTTAAATGTTTCTATCATATCCCCCCGTCTCGTTTTTCCTCCAAGCTACACATGTTAAGTTCCTTTAACCTTTCCTTGTACGTTTTATCCTGCATATAAGTATAAATATCCTTCTGAAGATATGGTCTCCAGTACTGCGTACAATACTCCAAGTGAGGTCTCACCAGTGTTCTGTACAATGGCATGATTACTTCCCTCTTTCTACTGCTAATACCTCTCCTTATACAATGAACATGCATATGGATTATGGGGGCTCATAAGCTCCCAGTGTCATCGCTCTTATGGCTGAATTTATTGCTGAATGCATGTGGTCACCTTTCAATGTGATACAACACGTAAACCTGTGAAAAAAGATCAGGAATACTTAGGATGGGGCAGGTCAGAACAATTTCTACTAACCTAAAAATTATGGGCATGAATTAAACAAATCTTTTCATTCAAGAACAAGACATAGGGAAAAGCAATCTTGGTTGTCCCCTTAATATGGCCTGGAAGCACATAAACTCTGTGCACAAATGTGAGAGTAAATTCGAAGTGATTTAAGGCCAAGGCAGTCAAACTGGAAACACAACTGACCTAGAGAATGTTTCTAGTTTGGCTATTTTTACCTTGAATGTGAAATTCATTTTAAATTCTCACTTTAGTTACTAAAAGTATATTTGTTTATTTCAGCTGCTTTCCTAGAAACATACTGTATCACTCGAACTTGAGATCTGGTGCTTGGAAGTCAAAAACACACTCCCTGTTCAGAAAGTTGAGTGTAAAGAAAATTTGCTCATCCCAACTTTGGTTAATCCCAGTAGTCTAAAATATCTAAAGTTTTAGCAAGGTATAAAAATGCATATAATTGCGAATTTCACATATATTTAAAATATTTAATTCTACATATTAATTATTATATTATTACTTTGTGCAAAAAACACACATGGAAAAGTTTGATAGTGCTTTTAAACATTGTAGCGCATATCACTGATCCCATGCTTTTGCAAGTCTTTCATCTTTTTGTGTTTGACTATACTTTTTATGGGTAAGTATGTACCGTAGGTTTGCGCCATCTTTATTTTGGGTAGATGGTATGGAATTGTGTTTACTGGGACACAGATACTATAATTTAGAATATGGAATGGGAGTTTCTCATAACTTTTCACTTTCAAAGTTCATTTTTCAAAAAAACAAAGGATATTTTATGACCTCATATTCAGAATCGCTTAATAATGCTAAAAATATTGTTGCAGACCTCTCTCTAATTTGCTCAAAACAAGAATGCTGTTAGAAAAGAATGAGGCTAAAAAAAACAGCTTTTGAGAGGTATCACTACCATGTAGTTACCTTCCCCCTACTGTCACAATTGTAATTTATTAACCATTTGTAGTACATCATAAAACTTGCATATCCCAACACCCTGTTGAATTGCTTGAAATCCTGTTTATTCTTGCACCTTTAATTAAATTTATTATTTCTTGAAATGTAATCAAAGAAGCAACATGTTATTTTTTTATGTTATTGATCAAATTAGTTATTCAGTGTTTGTCTCCACTGTTTATTTGTGTCCATTCCTTTACAATTCATGCGTTCGTTTTTGGGGTTTTTTTTAATTCTTTTTTTTTTCTTTGCAAAATAACACATCCTAGACAATAATAAAATGGTTGTTTGGATAACTGTTGACTAAACTATAGCATTCTGTATAATAGATAAATAATTTGGTTTCATGCCTCACTAAAATGCAGGGCATAGAAATATATCTGTTTACCGTGAGTTTCCAGACTTAATTAAGCATAATTCTCGCCAAAATAATATATGCTGTGCTGACCAACTCAGGATACTTGAAAAGGATATTATTCTAAAGGCCTTTTCCATCTTGCTGTGTTTCTTTGATCTCCCTGTCTTACTAATTCTCAGTAGGTCGAGGATCAAACAGTGCTAGGCCAGCTTCCACAGCTTAAGACAAGCTGTCAAGAAAAAATCCTCTCCATCGGGCTAAAGACTTGGTTGGTTGAAGAAACAACTTCAAGGACAAACTAGAATATATATGTACGTGAAATATACACAGAAATTGTGACTGTAAGTTAAACTGTTACTGAAAAAAATTCCAGTTTATATAAACCTAATCTGAATGTCACCTGATATTTCAATATATATCAAATGCATTTAAATAGGTTCAACCACCAGCAGAAATGATTTGACTATTAATATGTCAAAACATCAGCGCTACGGATTTTGCTAGAGCTATATAAATAATAAAATAATAATAATAATAATAATAATAATAAAATAACACATGGTCTTTATTTCAAATTCAACAAATCAAACTACCGATTGTTTAGTTGCAGATTTAATAACTGCCTGTTTTTACTTTGCTGTAAATAAATTATAATTCTTTAATATTTTTTTATTTGTATAAAAATTCCAGTGTGAGGATATTTACAAAGCTATATACAGATTATATATATTTTTTTTTTAGATGTACTCAGTGAATTGGGAATTGTGGTGAATTATTAAGGCAATAGCAATTTTTAAAGCAAAATAGCTCAACTGGAAAAAATTCGGAGTATTTAAAAAAAAATCTAAATTACATTTTATTTTTAAATAGCATTTATTTGTTTATTTTACAATTATCTCTTTTTCCAATTCAAATCCCACTCTGCCAAATTTAGAAGGTTAATTTTGAAATAAATTAGGATAATATGTGTAACTTGGTCACTATAATATTTTTTACTATATCCTTTTAAACACAATTACCCATTAAATAAACTGAAGAGATGCAAGGGATAGAAATAACTTGCACCTAGTCAATCTATGTTAATACAACCAGATTAAGATGTGCATTAATTAATGAAGCAGATCTGAAATTAATGGTGAGCTTTATAAAGTAACTAAAATAATTAACATAATATACTATATATTGTAAAGCTATAGTTCACACAAGAAATCCAATAGATCTCGGAAACTGTTCTTTAGAAATCAACAGACTACAAAAGAACAGAAAAAAAATCCCAGCACACTACTTCATGGCAAATACTTTTATTGAAAGGTTTTCCTTTTTAACAATAATAATCATTGTAATACAATGAAATATACAGAATAAAGAATAAGAATACATATAAATCAAACAAACAAAAAGAAACAGGGGAGGAGGGGAATATCCCTCCATTCTAAAATTGATAACGTATGCTTTATGAAAAACACTACATAGTGTCAAATAAGGTGTAAAAGCACTCCACATGCACCGGAGATAAATAGTGTGCAAGCAGTTGCGTATACAAACAGAACAAGAGTAAAAGGAGAGGCACATAAACTACAATCATAAAGAGTATTTTCGTTTGACATTATCGTCCCACATGTTCCAGTGGTACCATTTCTTTGAGTGTTCAACACTTCATACCCATTGAGGCATACATACTTGTAAAACTCAATAAATAAATGGGGTGTTGAGCTGGATAGATTATTTTATTCAGCTCATGTGGGGAGCTTGAAAACAGAAAGATGATATGGGCTAAAATATATTATTAATTATAAAGCACCAACAGATTCCGCAGCGCTGTACAATGGATGGGCTGACAGACATGTGGTTGAAACCAGACAAGATGGCTCCACAGAAATAGTGTGCTTGAGGGCTTTGCTCGATGAGCTTACAGGCTTGAGGGAGTGGGGTATAGTGACACAAAAGGTAAGGATAGAGTAGAAAATTATGGTTGCTGTAGTAATGTGATACCAACCAGAGTTATTGATTAAACTGAACATTGTAAGCTAAAATAGTAACGCTTTGATTATACAGGGAATGTTGCCAGCTCAACTCACTACAATTTGATGTTTAAGGAATAAATCCCTACAATACAATACTTTTTTTTATTTTGTTTTACCTCTACACCTCACATTTCTTGCCCTTATTTCCATCAGTAACGCTAATCTTATGGTTATTTGCAAGTAAAAATATTCTATATTTAATTAATGAGATTTAAAATATTAATAATAAAATAAACATATCAATGTTTTAGTGCTATTTCAGCCATCGCTAGCCTTTCTTGTTCTTTTATTTTTGTTAAATCTTACACCACTAATATTATGACGAACACATATTGCATAGTTTTTGTCAGTATGACAGGATTGAAGAGACAGAGCCGAAAAGCAAGAAACCATTAATATATATGTATTTAAAATAAATGAAAATGACTACCTCATTCATTAATATATAGCTTCAGTTTCATATCTGTTGAAGCTATGTCATTACATATTACATCTATTTTGAAAAGTACTAATAAAGTGAAATAAATCTGTCATAGAAAGACAGACTTCGGAAATTAGGAATGTAATGCCCAGAAACAAATTAGTCAAATGTTCTTCGTATTGGCAACAGGGCCAATATATAATTTAATTTGACATTGTCATTTCCAAGACACCTTCATTTCTTAGGCCAGCCCAGTAGGACTCCTGTCCCCAAACAAGTTATGTCCAATACAATATATAAAAGCCCTGTTTAACAGACCAGGGACATAGTAAGAGCAGCTACTGTTACTTAAAGATTTAACCAACCCGCCCCATATGTTGCTCTTGGCCTGCTTAATTCAATAGCTCACAAATTAGTGATATCATAAGCACTCACCTAAATTAAACACTTGTCACAAAGAAGTAAAAAACATTTCTTGTCACTCTACATTCTTTAGCCTGAACTAGTCTCTACCATAAATAGTCGTCCTGATCCTTCTTTGTGACAAAATAATTAGCCGAAAAGCTTGCAGTAGTGTTTACACACCTGTACATCTCTGTTTTAGTTTGGTAAGGTAATATGATTGTAATACTTTTTTATTCTCAGTTAGGTAGAGTATGCAGACGAGCTTTTAAAAATTCCTTCAAACTGTAGTAATCACAAAATCCATCTGCTTATCACAGATTTATATAAAGGTAATTAAGTTGTTGGTACACCATTCACATTGATGTGCAGAATGACTAGTAAATGAATTGGCAATTAATTTGTTACAATCTGGGAAGGAAAAACTTGACAACATAAATCATAAAGAAATGTATTACTAATTATATAGAAAGCACATTTCAACATTTAACCGAGGCAGTAAATGCAGGGTTTATTATGGTGTTTAAATCAATATTCCAAAAGGTGAGTTATCTCTTGCAGATGTAACCCCTTAAGGCAGGGGTTCTCAACGTTAGTCCTCAGGACCCCCTACCAGTCCAGGGTTTAGGGATTACCTGGGTGTGTCTAAGGTGTTTAGAAAAAGAAAAAAAAACACCTTAGAGTCTAAGGTGTTTTTTTCCCTTTTTCTAAACACCTGAGACACACCCAGTTAATCCCCAAATCCTGGACTGAAGGGGGACTGGGTTGAGAACCCCTGCCTTAAGGACACATGACATGTCTTTAAGGGGTTAAAGGTTTCATCTAAGGCCTATAACCACTTTAGCTTGCTAAAGGAGTTGTGGTGAAATGACCCAGCATATGCAGTATTTCAAGTTGAAACACTTGCAAATACAATACATAAGAATTTTTTTAACTGGGTGTAACTCCACCTCTAGCTTCTGTCAATCACTCAACTGGAACCTGTTTTAAGGATGACTATATATATTTCATCCAAGTTTTACATTCAGCATCTACATGCCACAGACATGCATAATTTGGACTGAGCTCACTTTTTTCCCAGGAAAGAGGGCTGAGACGTGGACAGAAATGTCTACTGAGAGATCAACATAGCCCAGTTCACTAAACAGAAAACCAGGCTATGGGTAAACTGATTGCAACTTTGCTATGATCCTCTAGAAATCGGTTTATTAACAGGATTGTACAAAGAACAAGAAGTCACCTATTGAGACTTAAGGAAAACAAATTTCACATAGAACCAATAAAAGGAGTGTGATTGTCACATAGTAATCGAAAAGGAATGCTTTCCCTTTTTTGGGGTACAACTGGAAATCAATTGAAGTTGATTTTTTGTTTTTCATTAGGATCAGAAACAGCAATGAATGAATGGAGGTAAAAGGTTGAACTTGGTGACCATTATGAGTCTCTTTTTTTTTTTGCAATCTTTATTGCTATGTTAATACATAGGTCACCAGAGAATTATGTTGAGTGTTTGTATTTCTGTAGTTTTAAAATAATCTCTACATGATTGTTATACCTTTTTCCAAGTGGAAAAATACGTGTTGTGCCTTCATCATCATTTATATGGTCTATATATACCTTCATATAAAATTGCTGGAAAAACAAAACTGCTTAGTAAGGCTGATTGTACACACTACTCATCTTAATTTTTTAATAGTGCTCAGTCATGAACATCGATAAATATCATATTTTTTGAACATTTTATTTGAACACTTAAGTTACAATAGAGGCTGCAGGAGCTGCTATCACCTTCACCCATCAATCAATATTGACTCCCTCTATTGTCCACCTTTAAAATGTAAATTCATCTGACTATTTTGAATGTGTTTTCTTTCCTCTACATTTCCCTTTAGAAATATATGAGACAATACTATATTGTTGTTGGGTCAGTGCATATTTCAAGAATAAGCCCTATTATAATACATGTAATATACCATAATGCTTTAGTCTATTAATTAATTCAACTATTTCAGTGGTCATATTAAACATACTTTCTTATTAAACCTGCACCTATCCATTTTCTATGTCTTGGTGTAGAGAGCTCGTGCAATGTTTATTTACAAATATTTCTATTACATTTTCAGTCTTCATTAACAAACTTGCTGTGAAAGTAACTTTGTTTGGTGTTAATATGTAAATGGTTGATATCAAAGTAAAGCATTAAGCCAGAAGGTCATAACTGGTTAAATAGTCATTATGTTTGCAGGTGATGGTAGATCTAGATCTTTATAAAACTATATATATATATATATACATATATATATATATATATATATAAATATCTCAACAGTTAAACAATATTGACAAATTAAGTTTTAGTGAGAATCACTGATTTATTTGTTAGAAAACAGGTTGTATGAGAACCATTGATTTAGCTGTTCAAATAAACAAATTCTTTATTTGTTATGACATTAAACATTCTGGAGTCCACAATTACTGACTAGAAATTATTCTGTTTTTACCAAAAAATACATTGGTGAGGACACCATTAACTAGTTTATGATCAATATTGCACTTATCCAAGATTAAATTATATTTTTAAGATATTACTTGCAAATGTTCTATATGAGATGACTGTGATCCTCTAATAGGGTTTCCTGGTGTTACGGCTTGCAGATAGAACATCAATCAATTCGAAATTTGTCTTAAAGGTTCCCTAGTCAGGTTTAATAACACCTTTATGAAATAATCTCTATTGTGTAGCTACAAAAATTACAAATGAATTTCAATGTAATATTCTCAGCATTACCTCTATTAAGAAACTTGTCATTTGGCAGAGGCAGTCGGAGAATTGGATTTGGAGTTATCAGTGTACTCCCTTATTATATTTCATTGGATTTGGTAAGCATCACATATATCTTATAGGGTTATTGGGCATATATCCAAGGCCAGAGTTTCTTCATTCAGAAGACTCCAAATCGGAGTGGTGTAATACCTGTAACATACTGTACTTGTACTGGTCACGTATCAGAAAAATGTCTATATTTTCTGATGTCCAAATGTAGAACTACAGTAAATATTTAGTAAATAATATTTGAACAGTTATTGCTATCCTGATAGGTTAGGTAGCTGTTTAACAAACATAACCTTATGTTATCCGTCAACGGACAATGTGTTTGCCAATTAATACTTTTTTTAGATTTAGTGGTGAACTTTATGTCCTTACTAAATGTTAGATTATCAAATTGTGTTATTGGCGATATTTGACTTGTATGAAACACAGTGAAACGATTCCTACTTTAGCAAGGGCGCTAAAAGAATTAATATAAGAGAAAAAACTTTATCCAACATTTTTGGATAAATACTCGTGTAGATTTCTTTGCTTTCACAAGAGCAGTAACATTGTATACAGGTTTCAGTACGGTTGTCGGTTTTCTGTACTACAGTTGTTCTAACCACGCAGAATATTGTGTTGCTTTGACCTAAGCCTTGTTGCTAGGTAACAACATATACAATTTTGTATTTCTGTTTAATCTCATGTGCTACAAATGGAAATTATACAGGTTTTGTGATATGGCTGTAGCTAATTGCTCTTGTTGCATTCTGCTCTGGTTTTTATACCAGAAGCATGTATTTTCTACAAAAGCGTCATGCTGTAAATAATAAAAACAAATGTTAATATATTGTGTTGATATTTGAAAGAAAAAGTACTTTGAATATTCCATTTTTAAAAAAATAAAGTTCTAAATCAGCATGTTGTATTTATTATTTTATTCACATATTATTCAGTTCACAACTTTGGTTTTATGTTTTAAATCTCACAAACAATTATGTTGCTTTTACTTTTAATGACAGTAACTTTTCTTACATTTATCATTTTAGAAAATTTGGTTCAAATAATCTTACTCTTGTATGACTCATGAGTTAAAAAATAAATTAATGCCATCTTTAAATGGAATAATCATTTATTTGGGACTATAGGTTCTCTTGTAGCTATGTAATCACTGACCTCTTCCTCACCCCCATACTTTGCACAGTAAAAGCTAAGTTAAATAAAGATAACTCACCTCATTTTCAGCACCATGGTTTCTCTGCTGCAGCCTCCAGCTACACCGCCATCAATGTCATGCGCATGCAAAGCAAAATGCTGTGCTCCTTCAATCAAATGCTGGTATCAGCAGTGTTTGATTGCAGGGACAACTTTCACTCAGTTCTAGAGGAGGAAGTGCCACTAGTGCCTGACAGGTATTTATCCTGTAATCTACACATTACAGTTTATACAAAACTTGCTAGCCAGCTGTCACATTAAATAGTTAACAAAAATATAAGTAAGCCTTTGGGGGTCAATACGATCCTCACATTTGTACATTTGGTTTTACGCTTCCTCCTTGTTTAGCAGACAGTGGGTGCATGTCTAATAAACAGTTAGCAATAAAAGACTAGCAAATAGGCAGCTACTGCTAATGTACTTACGTACTGCTAACATACTTACCCTGTGCCCCTCCTGAAAAAGTGGGGTGGTCAGATCACTGTCCACCCCCAGAGCACATACATTGGTGTTATTAATTAAATAAATCAAGCAGAACAGTATGTCCCCACAGTGGGACTGAAAATACATACTATTGGTGGGGGACATAGTGTCACCAACCATGGCTAGCAGGTGGGGTCTAAAAATTAAAATGAGTGGTTAGTGTGTGCGGGCTCTAATTAATAAACTGGGTGGAAATCTAATGTCCCCCCCCCAACCTCCACACATTGATGGAAGGTGGGGCCTATAATATTGATAAAAGGAAAGTTTAGTGTCCCCCCAACCCACACCTATAGGCCATAGTTAGGGGCTCCAATATTAATAACTAGTGTCCTCCCAATCTCACAACCATGGCTGTTGGGTGGGGGGATCTAAATAAAAAATAGAAGAGGGGTAGGAATTAGACCTACCTTTCCCCAGGCCGCATGGTGACCCCAAGACCCTACATCCCCTAATTTAATAAATGTACCTACCCTCCTCACCCTAATAATAGTGTGTCAATGAAACTAATACCTGTAAAAATCCATATAGTCCCGTCACAACTTAAAATAAAAAGTAAAAACAGGATCACAAAAAAATGATAGCCCCCCCATATGGAATGAAATGTGTGAAAAGCCCTTTTCCATGCTATGCAAGCTCAGTCAGAGAGTTCGGAAAAAAAGTACATGAAAGAAGAAAGAATACATCTAATGGTAAGTGTGAAATACAGAATTACAGGTAATAGTTTAATTGGCCCCTCATTTCCATTGGGGTGAGGGGACTAGAAAGTTTTTTTTTTTAAATAGTAATTGACCTCTTGCCACCCAGAGTGAGTGAGAATTTGAAATAATTTTTTGGGGGGTGGACGATGATATGTTCACCTTCACGTTCATATTTATATAGAGTCCTTGCCTTCTGCCCATGGGTAGAGTCTTGGCAGGAAACTAGGTCCCACCCTATTATCAATATGTGAGCTACCACCCACTGCCCATGAGTGGGAAGCTGGGGAACATTAGATCCTCCCTTATTTATTAATGAGAGCTTCTACTCCTTGACCATGGGTGGTGGTTGGGAGACACTAAGTCTTCCCTGTTAATATTACATTTACATCCCCATGTCACATTTCTTAATTGGACACTCATCGTGGAGGCAAGGGGGACAATGTGTCGCCCCTGCTTTTGTAGTCCACATCCAATGCCCATGGGTGGTGGCATGGGGGCATGTGTGTTATTAGCAACTGGGTAGCAATAGCCAAGTTACTAGTCTTTTATTACAGAATACAATGGGGGAAGTATGAAACCTTAATTGTACAGTTTTAAGTATCTTACTGCAGACTGGTAGTTCCACCAATAGACAAATAAAAACGTTAACCCTAATCCTGAAGCAATCAGTCTTTGGGGATTTTGTCTGTTTTGAGATTAGACCATGTGACGGTACTTTTTTTGGCAAAATTGCCAATCGTCCAAAAATCAGGAGACAATTCTCAAAAATTTTAAAACAATTCTCCAAGCCTAGTCATTGAAACACATATTGTAAAAATGTATATTAAACTAGTATTACCTCATACTTAAATAATTACATACCAAGGTGAAAATTACTTTAACTATTAAGTGATCTGTGTTCCTATATATGTCCTCACTCATGTTATGGTCATCTCATTCCATCCACGTGTTTGCTTATTTTACAAACAAAGTATTAAATATGTTGGTGGTAAATATACTATTAACTTATTTTTCCTTCAAGAAAATGTTACCTGTAGCTTATTTTAATTCTAATTTCTGTTTTATCCTCTTGGTGAATATTTTATTAACTCTTCCAGTACGTTAGTGGAATAGTTGTCAAAATGTTGCCAATTTATTTAACTATAGTAAGCTATCTTCCTTTTATCATCTAATATGACTTGGACAATGTATCCATATCATTTTATTAAATTTTACTACTTGGTGGGAAATGGAGGAGTTACAAAACTAGTAAATTGTCAAAACTAGAAATAAATAATTATATAGAATAATAATTATGATAATAATGTTAATTATTAATATCTTCATTACTATATATTACTGTTTCTATTTTCTTATAAAAGTCAAATAGTAGCTTTCGTAAAAAAGTTGCATACAGAACACTTAAATTTTAAATCCCAAAATGTATTACGTCTTATAGGTCTTAGTATTGCATGGTGTTATTATTCATAACAAGCCTATGCCTCTTGAGATAGACATTATTATTTTGTTGCTACAAAAATAATTCTTTAATGAGTCAATGGGCCAACCTATGTTAATACTGATCATACAACTAATTAGGAAATGTAATACTCATTATGCTGCCAATTAGGATTCACATTAGATCTGTTATGTTTGCGTTTTGGAAAATCTCTTATTCGGTGAGATGGGATGAATACAAAATCTGAGCCTTGCCAAACCGCATTAATTACTGAATTGTATAAAAGCCTAGTGAGGTCGCCTGCAACAAACAAATCAGACCCATGGTAGATTTTAAATCTATTTAGAGAAGAAAAACTATATAATTGTACTGACCTGATTAGAATATGAATTATTCCATTACACAAACAAGCTAATATGTGTGAAGAATAATGGGTTATTTCACACAATGGACAGCTACATGTAATCCCATTTAGACACCTTATATGATCATATTGTCCATACCCAGCTACTATGTTAAATGATCCTCACCAGGTTTCTTAGATCCTAACCTAATGCCATTAACATGGGGTCAGATTCTCCATTATCAAAGAAACATAAGTGGTAGCAAAACTACCAGCACTTTTGTAATTTAGCTCAAAATACCGTAAAATCCCTACAGCATCTGCTAAAAAAACAACAACCTTTTGAGGTGTCAGGCTAAGCAGAGCAAGATTAACCACATAGCTTCCTTAGGTGACCATCTAGGATCCAGAGGTAGACATGGTACCAGGAATTTGCTTGGCCTTATTCACCATCACTATCTGAAGAATAAAGGGTGGCCTAAAACAGTATTTTAATCCTTCTTTGTTAAGCTTAAACATAAAGCATACTTTTAATGCCTTCTCTGAGTCCATCTAAAGAAGTCGTATAGCCTTTCATTACATACCATTACACAGAACAGAGACGTATTGTATATGAGACATTTGTGTTGAAAAGCATGTTGGATGAAGACACACAAGTATAGGTTAAACACTGGTCATTTAAAATAGTTTAATAAGAAGATTATGGATGACAAATGTTTCCATATCAGAAATGTACATTGTGTGAGAAGGAAGGAAGGAAGGAATTTATATATAGACATACAATATTGTCAATTTGTTTACTTAAGTAAAATAAACTAAATAGAAATGTAATAAATGTCCCGAAGCTGATCCCTCATATCTTGCGCCCCCGGGCCAGTGCGCCCTCATGGGTGCGCCGGCCCTGGCAGTGCTGCAGCCGCCTGAGGCACTCTATAGAGCATTTAGGCGGCTGCAGCATGAGGCCTTCCTACAGGCGCCCTAGGCGATTGTCTAAGTCTCCTATAGGAAGCGCCGGCCCTGGGTGTGCCTCAGAGTTCTGTCCTGGTTCTACCTCTCTTTAATCTATAAATTATATTGAAGATCATTAAAAGTAATTTGTCTGTGTTTGCAGATGACACAAAACTAAGTAAGAAAATACAATTTGAACTTGATATAACTTCTATGCAGAGGGATTTCGATAAGTTGGGGGACTGGGTAGGCAAGTGGCAGGTGAATTTAAATTGCAAGCTCATGCATTTTGGAATAAGGGACCCACAATCCACTTATATACTACATGTGGTAGAGTTTGGATAACATTAAATGAAAAGGACTTAGGAACAATTATAGTTCACAAACTAGGATACAGTATGCATGATGCAAATATAATTGTGCCTCTTCACAAATCAGACAGGCCATGACTCAACTCATGGGCAGCTGGCTCTGCTGCCCGAATGGCAGCTCAATTGTAACTCTTTAAATGTCTTCTTAAAGGACACTAGGCATGTGCAAAACCAGCTAAAACAGGGCAGATTTCAAACCAGCCCTATTTTTGTCATGCTTAGATGCCCTCAAGTTAGCTTCTCCAAACAGCTATCAATGAAGTGGGAGGGGCCCTGCAGAACTGAAACCTGTTACAGAAGAGACACTTATTTTTATAACAATTATTTTTCTGGCTTACCACCCTGCCCTCCAGAGAACCTCAGTGTTTCTAAACTACTGCAAATAATTGTTTCCCACTTACAAACTGTTGGGGCACTGC